GGCAGGGCGCGTCTTCATTAGGAAAGGCCTAGTGTGGCGTGCGCGGGGGGGAACATGTAAGTTTACGGACTGGTTTGGCTGAAATGGCTCTTACCAACAGATAATTCACCATCTCAATGGGCGCCTATTAATAACGGTGCGAAATCAGATAGGAACAAGCAAACGCCTACGCTCAGGGGACTCCTCCTGGTAAATATACCTAATTGAATTAACTGCCCCAGAGATTGACGACAAGAACTCAAACGAGGCAAGGCCTAGGGAGCTAAACAAAACAAGGACAAAGGTAAAATTATTGTCGTAAATTTTCCGAGTGGGACGGACCGAGGGCGGTAGTGGTAAGGCGGACAAACAATTAAAACAATGAAAAGTGGGCAGGCAACGCTAAAGATCCCAAAGAGACAGGTGTGACCATCCTTAAAGAGCCAGCCGGCTGGCCGTGGGTGGTGGGTGGTGTTGGGTTCTGGGTGGTGGAAGGACGTGCCAACTTCATTGCCTGGCAACGGCTGGCTGTCGGCACTTCATCAACTGCCGGTGGCATTTCTCAAGCAACTCCCCGACTTCCTCCTTTGCGCACTTTGCTGTTGTTGCTGTGCTTATTGTTATTTTTGAGGGCAAGGAAAGGGTGTCCTTGTTGCCCGACCCCTTCGCTTCTCCCTCCCCTCCCCTATCGCTCTCTCTATTGCTTTCCTTAGTCTGACGCCGTGTGTTGGCTGGGCTCATGGTGACGACAGAAGGACCTGTGAGCAGGCAGGGAAAATTATTATTTATAAACTGTTGATTTTGTCTCTGTCGCACACGAGACGACACCTTGCGGAGGGGAGCCCCTCGCCCATTGTCGTTTGAACAAAGTTTGCACCGCTGATGGGCCAACTTCCCTCCCAGCTGCTCCCTTTGTAGCCGCCCCTCTTCATTGTCCTTTTGGGCCTATTGTTTTATAGTTGAAAAACATTTTGCACGCTTTTGGCATCTAACATGAAAATTATTGCGCCTGCACTTCCTCGACAGTTCAAGTGCACTGTGCACAGCTACTGTGCAGCTGGTGAAAGGAGGGCGGATAGATAGCACTCGCATTTTTAATTAAATACAGACTACTCCAGATGTACAAATTTATGGGAATGCGGGGAAAGCACGAGAGCGTATTTCGAATTTTTTCTCGCGCTCACTTTTTCGTTTCAATAAACAATTTTTATTGCTACAGCGCAAATTAGCCGTGTTGCTTTTGGGCGTGGCCCGTGCCTAGAACTCCCGACTATGCATCTCATTTGAAACTGTATTTCCTTTTTAGTTTTTTGCCCTTCTTGAAACTCTCTTTTGCTAATGATTCTTCGCTTGATTGGGACTGAATCTCCGACAAAATAATATTATTTCAGCAAGAATCCTAGATATTCCCCTGCATTCCAGAATTCGCCTTCAGTCTGGGGCGGCCTTTGCGGGCGAATGTCTGTCATAGCCCATTATCTACTCCAAAAGTCCATGAAATGTATGCTTAGGAGGACGAAGTCCACTTGAGCTTCCAAATTGAATGTGCTGCAGTCCTCTGGGCCGAGCATGAAATTCCATAATGAAATTGTGCAGAAACCGAAGGAGGACAAGGCGGAGATACGGAGATACGGAGAACGGAGCGAGTCGAATCGAGCGAGATGGACACCCACTTACCCTATGGCCATAGGCCTGTCACGTGCCAGCCATGGTCGCCCGACTGGCCGCTTATTCTGCCTAGATTGTGCCTGGACTCTGGCTAGGAGTGCGACTGGGACTGGGACTGGCCCAGGCCCAGGTCCGTCTGATTTTACGGCTGGTGGTGCTGGTGTGCGGCAGCCATCCTTGGGATGTCAATTCTGTTTGCATTTTTCGCATGAAATTGACGTTTCATTTGTTATAATATGCATTGAGGCAACATTTCGATACTCATAAATATTTAACAGGCATTCATACGTTGGGAGAAACGTTGAAGGAGCCACAGGCTCGGCTGCACCGAAAGCCATGCGATATCTGATGTCGAGGGGATATCGGGAAACGCGGTAGTTGGACGGAGGACTGGGAATTGGGAAATGGCTGCAGGACCCCGGAATGGGCTCCGGCTGGCAGGCGGCCGTATGTGTGCTTGCACATTATAGTCGTAAAAATTCCACCGCCGCCAAAAGGTTCCCACAGACAAAAGTTCTGCATTGAACATGGGCGTTGACACATGCAACAACAACAGAAACATCAAAAGCGAAGCTAAAAACCGGAAAGAAATGCGCAGGTCGAGTTCTCCGACTTCTCGATACCTGGTAATTATTTTCCTGTTCACTTCGTCTCTCTACATTTGCCGTTACAGAATTGGATATAACTTTCTTTTCGATCCGCTAATCAATTAATATATTTAATCGGACACAGAGAATATTCCGACGTTCTGAAATTGAGTATGATGATGTACTCATTTTGAGTACAGATTTTAGCTAAAAAATCACATTGAGGATATTTTTACTCATTTTCTTGGTATCGGTTTCAGATGCCTTGACCTATGTATGTCTCGACTGGCAAGTTCTCTCCAAAGTTTGCTAACGTTTGTTTGTCCATATTTTTGTTATACATAATTCGGGTCCATTCGCTTACCATTTCTAACAATTACTCAAATATTTTACACAAGGCCTAATTCGCTTTTTGATGCCTCTTTAGCTCTTTGCCATGCTAGAGAGTGGGTGCACGAGCGGTAAGGGCTTAATGAAAAACGAGTCCAATTTGTTCTTAAACTGAGAGCAGTTTGTGCTAATTCTAAAAAAAAAATGTTAAAACAAATCGCTGTACTTACTTTGACCATTTTCATTTTTGAAAATGTATACTTAAGCTGAGTAAATTGAAGTAAAGTGATCCTTTTTATTTTTTTTTTTTCGTAGAGTTTAAAAAACTCAGATTGAGTGCATTGTTGATAATAATAATAAAAATATATGTATATATTTATAAAAATCACATACACAAAATTTGCAGCTGTAAAAGTATGGGAAATCAAGGCATTATATGGAGTGGGAAGCCGCTGCCGCATGTCTTCGTACAAAAACAATATACCTTGAACTCCGTGGCTACCGGGTATAACAATAACAGCCGCAGCGCCAGCGAAAGACAGAACAGGAAGCGAACGGATCCAGCTCCGTCGCCGGGTGTAGTGAAGTGCATTAATTATTGATTTAAATAATACTTGACTCGTGAGCTGCATCGCTACTTGGGCATTACTTCGATTTGGCCGGTTTGATGCAGTACGGAGCAAGAAATCTTAAAGCACGACCCCGAAAATCCGTAAAGTTGTGGAAAAACTCACTGTTTCTCACGCACCGTTCGTTTTGCGCTAAATCAAAACAATCATCACTAATTGGAATTTTAACATTTCATAAAAAAGCCCCTCACATCTACAGAAGCGCACCGCCGGGTGCAGACGCCGTTGTTGACCCAGATAGCGATTAAAGCTCGAGAGCACGGCTTTGCCAAAGCCTGAGGCGGAGCAAGAAAGGGCTGAGCTGGCTATTTTGAGTGAATTAGAACCAAATAAATTGGCAGAATGATTCAATTAAACACTAATTTCCGGTACCGCCAATTGTTTACAGAGTTCCCAGGTCAAAAACAACCCCTTTGGTCCCGCCACTGGCCTAAGGCATCGACCTCGCTTAAGGCTGCGAATTTGAACACCATGTGGGGAGGATGTGGTCCTGATGAAGTACTTTTTGGAGCATCTGCGCGTGGCTGTTATACATCAACAGATATGCGCACACATTAAAAAACTATCAGAGTGTGTTTCACTTCAGTTCGAGCTGCTTTCTCCCTTTGATCCACTCGTCCCGCTATTCATCTGCTCTCCAGAATAACACTAATTTCACACCCCTAATTACACTTTTTTCGCAAGCCTCTTTCCCGCGCCCCCAGTGTCCCTAATTATGCGAAGTTAGTTTTGCTACTTAACTCTGTTGGGAAATATCGTAATAAAAATTACACCAACCAAGTGCTGTTTGGCTGCGATGTTGTTTTGCTCGTAATTGCTGCAATTCCTGCTGCTGCAGCAGTTACTTTTTATTTATAAGGATTCCCGAAAGTGGGGGAAGGCTTTGATCTAAGTACACGGACTTCTGTGGAAATGGAGCTCGCAATCTCCAGACAGGCCTCTGAGATACGGAATCGATTCCAATTCCTTGAAAACTATGTCGGTAATTTACCTTTCTCGGTCCGCCGAGTACATGCGGGCCATGCGAAAGCAGATACAAGCCAGAACACAATTTACTACATCAACTGCTTCTACCAAGCACGGAGGCAAGGTGATCATCAGCAGCAGAACGACCTTTCCGCCCTACTCTCATCCTAAAAATAAGTAAGAAAAACTTTTCTCTGCAAAATGCAACAGTTTTGGGCTCAACCCACCTCCACCAAAGCCCAAAGGCACGCTGGCAAAAGTCATGCGGGAAAATGGAAAAAGTTGGCTGGATTTTTAAATGAAATTGAAAATAAGCTGCCGGTCCCAAGCAGCAAAGATAAAGCGCAGAGCTTAAGAAAGCAGAAGAGAATCGAAAGCCGACATTTTCGAACGCATTAAGAAACACTGTACACCGCCGTAATAATCGCTTTAATTACAATTAAGCGGGGCTGTAATCATTCTACGATGGAGTTGTTGTTCTTACCATGATGATAAATGACTACCCATTCATCCCGACAGTTAAGCAGCCAGGCCAGGGGCCGTGGTGGGGGGGCTATAGTCAGGGGCAAGGATCAGGACGTGCGGAAAGGTGAGTTGGAGGGCAAGGCAGTCAAAGTCGGGAAGTAGAATGCTTCTTTAATGCTAATGACGTTTAATCGCTTTTAGGTTGAAGACTCAAGGGAGCTTCTCAATTTGCATAAAGTTGAACCGTTTAGTGGCCAGGGTAGTTGAGCTTTTCTGACCTTGAATTTATTATAAACTGCGGAAGCGGGCAGACAGCCAGCCTACTTATACTAATATCCAAAGGGGAAGGGATTAAATTTGTAAATACAACGTTGTCTTATAGTTCGGAAATGTGTAATTTTATTTGTCGTCTCTTTCGAACTGTTTTGATTTAAAAACTATTTCATACATTTAATGGTAAACCACGCTATACGCTCTAGTGTTGTCCTTTATGGCACATAATACAGACTTGATTTTTGCCAATTACTTCAATATTTTACAGAATGTAGACGTTAGGATGGGAGCTGCAAAGAGAAAATAAAATAATTTATTACATTGGCATGACTTAGACAATTCAAAAACGTCTAGAACGGTTCAGAAAGATATTCCGTTTTCTAGCCCATTTTCCATTGGAAAGCCCCCAATTAACCATTCCCATTATGGGCAATAAATCAAATTTTACGACCATTTCGCCTAATTAAAAAGCCTCAGAAAATATTAGCCGTAAAAAGTTTTATGGCCACACTCGAATAACTCCAGTTCCTCTGTAGGAAAAGTGCCGGAAAATGAAGCAGGCAATTAGGCGCCGCATAAAACAAGGGCTAGAAGCAAATGTCACAGAATGAAAAGCAAATATTATCTGGGGCAGATGAGAGTTGCCCAAATAGCTGAATGGGTGGCATTGAAACGCACCTGTTTCGGCTCAGAGCCCAGTTTACCCCGCTCATTCGGCAAAATGGGATGGGTATGGTTGGGAGTGTAATGGAGTGGTGCGAAGTGGAGACCTAACCGCTTGACACGTTGTTAACTTTGGGTCTACACCAGTGCAGGATGGCAAAAAATTCTTATGGACAAACGAAAGCAAGGGGGCAAAAACGAAGGAGCACAGAATAGCACACTATTCTGCTCCTTGACGTGTGTGGCTCCCGCAAAAAGAGAACCGCAGGTCGAGAGGAGGATGAGCTGGCAGAGGACTATGTGGATTTTACGCACTGCTAAATAAGCAATTTGCAAAATGTCGAAACCAATAACATAACAAATGACACAGTGGCTCCTCCAGCAGCACCAACAACAACCACTTTGCGGTGAGGGCCACTTTGCCAGCTCTTTGAAAATACAGAAAATGCAGCTAATGAAAATTAAAGCCAGGCTGTCCTTGTGAAGAACACGGGTTGGAAGGTTTTTTAGCTGAAAAAACATTTAGAATTCGTCCCACTTGGCTTAAAGCTTGATTATTCAAATAAGCGACGAGGCTGTAAAACAGCTTCCACAAGGTAACGTTCAGAAGCAGTATGACAGAAATCCTTACCACGATTTTCCAAATCAGCCCCAATAGGGGAACTCCAGCTCGCCCACCCTCTTGACTGCCGGATAATCATTCTTCAGAGAGCCTTTCACCTTTGTCCCCCAGGACAACTCACTTCTCTTCTCAAACAATGCTCTGAGTACGTTCCCTGCTAAAATCTCATTAATTGGCTCGGGACCGCAGAGAGAAGGACAATAACATGTCAGAGGCATAATGGACAAACTCCGGGCTAAAAGCGCACTTTAAATATTACAGCCAAGCATCTCCAAGGACACTTCCCTTGGCTGCTCATTTCTGACCTAGCACAACGTCAACACAACCGCAAAACATCAAACTGCCGAGAAGGAGGAGGAGATTAACTGGGGCTGGTCCAGACTTCGAGGTTGGGGAGGCTAAACGCAAAAGCGTATAATTTACATCGCACCTCAGGGGCAAGGGTATTTGGGTGGTGCCTGCGACAGCCACGAAAGGGGCGTGGTCAACACCTTCGGCTAGGAGGCCGATAATGATGATTATCATGGCAATGGGGGTGATGAAGATGATGAGTGGGATGGCGACGGCATTGACAGCAAAGACAGCGTCTGTTTATGAATATAACGTCGGCAGGCGCAGAAGGATGCTGAATTGGAGGTGCACGCATAAATGGCGTAGGTCATCTCGAAAGCCCCCATGCGGAGTTATGTGAGAATTGATGGCGGAAGGTATGGGTTCCTGGTCTGGGGCAGACGTGCCGGAAATCAACTTAACACAACCGCAAAAGCGCAATCTCCTTTTTGGGCAGTACCATCACCGGCCACATCCCCAGACCCTTAATGTTGTGGGCTTGTTTTTGTGTGTTGCCATTTTTTGATAATTGGTGTGTCCATGTTGGGGTCTATGCGCGGCCTTCTCCGTTCTAGCAGGGCCACAGGTCCTTGCTGGACATTAAGTTGCCGCCTTGGCGCTCACAAATTGACTTAATGACGCTATGGTGCATCTGAAATTCTGCAACGAACCTCCATTCTCCTGTGTATTTCCGCTGTTGTGGTGCCATTTTGTTCGCTCTTTGGTTTTACGCTTTCTGATTTCAAACAGGACCTGTCTGGCCCGAGTCACTGCAGTTGCGGGTCTTGTTGAAGGTCAAGTTGGTCCCTGCGGTCTCATAATGATGTGGTAATGTGTCTCGCTGACCTTTTCGCATCCCAGGCTCCCAGCACAGGGCCTTTTGGCTGGATTTGGCAGTCTGGCGCCTTGAAGCCTGGCATAGAAAATAATAAATTACTTATGCGTGCTAGAAGACGTGTCAATATGCAAACCAAATATGCGGTTGACACCCCAGGGTGGCGAAAGAAGGAAGCCAACACTTTAAGGCTTCAGCGGTACCGTGACTTATGGCCACGGGACGTGTTTAACTGCCGGAAATAGTCTTAAACGCAGGCTTCAGTAGTTTTTCAGTTTAATCCTCTTCCGTGCTTTCCCAATTTAATTGCCAAATACGAAATAAATGGTTATACCCGTGCAAAAGGGTATTATCATTTCAGTCAAAAGTTTCCAACGCCGTGAAGGATACATTTCCGACCCTATAAAGTATATATATTCTTGATCAGCATCACCAGGAGAGTCGATCTAGCCATGTCCGTCTGTTCGTCTGTCCGTCCGTCTGTCCGTCCTTCCGCCCGTTTCTACGCAAACTAGTCCCTCAGTTTTAAAGATATCTGCTTGAAACTTGAAATTAATGCTTATACCCGTGCAAAGGGGTATTATAATTTCAGTCAAAAGTTTCCAACGCAGTGAGGGATACATTTCCGACCCTATAAAGTATATATATTCTTGATCAGCATCACCAGGAGAGTTTATCTAGACATGTCCGTCTGTCCTCAGTTTTAAAGCTATCTGCTTGAAACTTTCCCAAGAGTTGTCTTTCTATTGCAGGTAGTATATAAGTCGGAACGAGCCGGATCGGCTGACTATTTCCTATAGCTGCCATATAACTGAACGATCGGAGAGGCCATAACTTTGGTATTTTTAAACCCTTGCAGAGGGTATTATAATTTTGGTCTTTTTGCTTTACGGCGCCTAAACTGGGATGCAAATCTTATCTTACCTTCTTATTCTAGTAGACTTCTTTTGATTAATTTACCATCCCTAGCCAACCGTAGAACGATGCTTGGTACTATCTTTATTTATAACCTTATACATGGTGATATTGACTGCCCCAACTTGTTAAGTCGGCTAAACTTTTCTGTGCCAAGTAGATTAACTAGAAATTATATTCCCCTAATTTTAAATCATTGTAGATCTAACTATGCCTTGCATGAGCCTTTCAGAGTATTATGTTCTGACTATAATAGACTTTTTCCTGTAATATCAAATCTTGACTCTCTGCCGCTCCTAAAACGATTAATACTTGCTTCATTGGCACAAGATTGATCTAACTATTACTTTTTTCCCCGGACCTTTACCTTTATTTTCCTATCTCGCGTCTATCCTATCGCGAATCGTGCCGTACGATACACGGCTGCGCCCCTCGGTCGGTTGGGCGGGTAAGTGGGCCGTGAGACTCCGCGCGAAAAAAAAAAAAAAAAAAAAAAAAGTGTGCAACGCAGTGAAGGAGACATCTCCGACCCTATAAAGTATATATATTCTTGATCAGGATCACCTCCTGAGTTGATATAGCCATGTCCGTCTGTCCGTCTGTCCGTCTGTCTGTTTCTACGCAAACTAGTCTCTCAGTTTTAAAGCTATCGAGTTGAAACTTTGCACACAGCCTTCTTTCCTTTGCACGCAGTATATAAGTCGGAACGGCCGGGATCGGCCGACTATATCCTATAACTGCCATACAACTGATTGATCGGAAATGCCATAACTTTGGTGTTTGTAAAGTTAGGGAGTTGGAATTTTCTATGGGCTTTATATTTGGCCAATCAATCCGACCTACCAAATTTCATAAGGATCGGCCGACTATATCTTATAGCTGCCATATAACTGATTGATCGGAAATGACATAACTTTGGTGTTTGTAAAGTTAGGAAGTTGGGATTTTCTATCGGTTTTATATTTGGTCAATCAATCCGACCTACCAAATTTCATAAGGATCGGCCGACTATATCCTATAGACGCCATATAACTGATTGATCTGAAATGCCATAACTTTGGTGTTTGTTAAGTTAGGAAGTTGGGATTTTCTATGGGTTTTATTTTTGGCCAATCAATCCGACCTACCAAAGTTCATAAGGATCGGCCGACTATATCTTATAGCTGCCATATAACTGAAGGATTGGAAATGCCATAACTTTGGTGTTTTTAAAGTTAGGATGTTGGGATTTTTTATGAGTATTAAGAATGCATCATATGAATAATTTTGGAGAATATAATTTACAGAGTATTCTGCAAGGGTATATCAACTTCGGCTCCGCCCGAAGTTAGCTTGCCTTTCTTGTTATAGTTAGGAAGTTGGGATTTTTTATGGGTCAATCAATCTGACCTACCAAATTTCATAAGGATCGGCCGACTATATCCTATAGCTGCCATATAACTGAACGATTGGAAATGCCATAACTTTGGTGTTTTTAAAGTTAGCAAGTTTGGATTTTTTATGAGTATTAAGAATGCATCATATGAATAATTTTGGAGAATATAATTTACAGAGTATTCTGCAAGGGTATATCAACTTCGGCTCTGCCCGAAGTTAGCTTTCCTTTCCTGTTTTTAATTTTTATTATTTTTTTTTTTGGGATTTGGTAATATTTAAATATTATGGAATTACGTTTTTAATTAAATTAAAATTGGACAACAATATCATATAGCTGCCACAGAAACGATGGCAAAATGCACCGCAAAATCGACATTGCTTCAACTGCAAGGGTATATAAACTTCGGCTTGCCGAAGAGTCCTTCCTTTCATGTTTTAAACTAAATTGTGTTGTTCTAGAAGATATTGATTTAAAGTCTGAGAAGCAAACAAACAGAAGGAAAAATAATTGAAAAATTGTACACTTATAAATTAAACTTTAAATTTTTTTTTATTAATTATACTCAGCATTATACTCAGCAGAGGCTATAATAGTTTCAGTCAAAAGTTTGCAACGCACTGAGAAGACGTTTCTGGCTCTATAAAAAGTATATATTCTTGATCTCCATCACCAGGAGAGGTAATCTCATTCCGCTTATACACAAACTGGTCTCTCAGTTTTTAGCCTATTCGGATGAGATTTTCCAAAAATCATCCTTCTATTCCGGGTAGTATACATATAAGTCGGAACGGGCCGGATCATAAGACCAATCGGAAAAAGGTAAATTATAAGATCGTTGTTTCTTAACAAATACTCATATACTCAGTGATAAAGTAATTATTAACGATTTAAAACAAATGTTTTAGTTTTATAAAAATGTATTTCATATTGCTGCCATATGAAAGATCTAAAAATAAGCATCAAAAAGGCATGCAAGTTCGCAAAACTAAGTTGTTCTTAAAAATGTACGGAAATTCTCTTAGATTTAGTTATTTTTTACAAATTTATCAATGCAGTTAAAATTTTTTAAAAATCAGATATGGTACTTTTTTTCCGGCATCTATTTGGATAGCTGTAATATATACAATCGTTATAGGCAGCACAACAGCCCACGCAAAAGCAGTTATTTTGCTCTTAAATTCAGATAAGCTCACATTAATTTGCTTCGGGGATTTGGATTTTTTTAGCATCGTGTTTATGTAATTAATAAAAAAGTTTGTTTTTCATGACTTTTTCAGTTATTATGTTTATGTAAATAAAAAATTTTGTTTTTAATTTTAAAAGACAGAAAACATAGGCAATTTTAAAAAAAATTGTCACCCATTAAGATTTTAAATTTGAAGAATGAATTTTTTTCTTGGTCTAAAGGCTGGAACAAATCAATGATGATGTTTCTAAATTTATTTTTATTTGGGGTGTATATTAGAAAATTAACCACACTCATCCGCCGAACGGAATCTCGGATGGGCCATATTTTTATCCCCCTTCCCCGTGGGGGAAAGGGGGAAATTTTATTTTGGAAAAAAAAAAAAAAAAAAAAAAGGAAAAGTTCCCCCCCCAAAAAAAAAATATATATTTTAAAAAGGGCAAAAGAGAAAAAAAAAAAAACCCCTCCCCTTTTCCTCTTTTTTTTCTCTTTTTTTTTCTCCCTTTTTTTTCCCTCTCCCCTCTCCCTCCGCCCCCCCGCCTCCCTACCAAAAAAAAAAAAAAAAAAAAAAAAAAAAAAAAAAAAAAAAAAAACCAATATAAAGCAAAAAATAAGTAAAAAAAACCCAAAACAAACTTCCAACAAAAAACACCCACACCCCCTAAAAAAAAAAAAAAAAAATAAAAAAAAATAAAAAAAAAAAAAAAAAAAAAAAAAAAAAAAAAAAAAAAATAAAAAAATTAAAAAAAAAAAAAAAAAAAAAAAAAAAAAAAAAAAAAAAAAAAAAAATACCAAAAAAACCAAAAACCCAAACAAAATCATTCTCCCACTCCCCATTAAAAATTAAAAAGAAAATTATTTTTGTTAGCTATTAATCAAAACAAATAGCTATAGGAGAATACAAATATTTTACTACCACTCAGCAACAACAAGACTATCCGACAAGCGCTCTTCTGAAATTTGCATTGCCTATCGCAGTAGGGAAAGCTCGAGCTCTCGGGACAGGGCTGAAATATTGTTAGACTGTATTTCGTTTTGTTTTCTTTGCATTTCATTAGGGAAATGCACAAGCAGAGAGCTGGCTTGCCCTTCCTCACAATTCTCCATTCGCTTCCCACTCCTGGTTTTCTGAAGAGTCGCTGTATACCTGTAGGCACAGTCTGCTACCGTGTGCTGTCAACATGTTTTGTGGTGATTTGTGGGTTCTATTGCCAAGCCTTCGGGCTGAAGAGTTTAACAACCAAACAACCGATGTCTGCATTACCGTCTAGCATTTTGATTGAGTTGAGAGACAACTAGTTCTGGCAGATAACATAATTACATTTTTTTAATTTGCCTAACTGATTGCGGAACACAGAATAAGCCATTTTCCAATTCAAAATGCCTTTGGTCTTATAGTGAAAGAATATACATAACTTATTAGAAGACATTGGATTATATGCAAAGGCAGATCTTAGGCATTCGATTTCAAGAGAACTTTGATAGAAAAAACTTCAATTTTACGAAAATTTTGTTTAGAATTAAAGTTTTTTTGGATGATTAAAGATATGGCTTTACATAAAACCCGAGAAAGGCATAGTCGAAATTAAAACTGCCGTA